TTTATTTTATATATATGTATATATATGTCTTCTATCGTAAACTTATATTTTTCACTTTTAGACAAAAAGCTAGTTGATTTTAATTTGATTGATACATGCATAACCTATTGCAAGTGCTAGTACAGAAAACACGTATTTGACAATGCATTTTCTGTTTGTTTTACAAATCACACAAATATGCAAGCATCAGTGGTTTTAATTTTACTATTTTCGAGTTATGAATAAGCCATAGCAACAACAACAACAAAAGTACAGAATCGATATTTTTAGACAAAACACTTTTTTTTATGTATTTAAGGTGGCTCGGGTGTCTTCCTCCACCTTGGATTTTGAAGTAGCAGATAACAATTGGTCTAGATCTTTAATGAAATGTGCAAATTTTGAGAGTAGTATGTAATCCATGTGCAAGACTCTTAATGTTAACATAGAAAATTTTGTGTTTTATCATATTTACGGCTGTATTTTCTAAAAAACAATATTTTTGTTTGATTCATTTTTTTTCAACTTTGCAAAATAAGGGGAGATAACTCAGATAGTAGGGGAATTAACTCAGATAAAAGTAATTTTACAATAGAAAGTGTTGTGAAATTACCTATTTTAATATGTAGCAAGAAAACAAGTCCGGTGACCCAATTTTTTTCTTTTTCTTATCTGAAGGCATGTTACAAGAGCTATCTTCTCACATTTTATCTTAAAATTCTATGGTGTAGTTTTCTTTTTATCACACAAAATTGGACTTTCCATGCATAATCTATACAAAATCTGACAATTTTGCACAACCTGTAGCGTGAAAAAAAGTCCGGTGACCCATACTTTTGATTGTATTTTTTTAAAAAGCATAATATAAACATCATTTTGACAAATGAATAAAAAATTCTATGGATTTTAATTAAGACCCCCAGCTACCTTAAGGACAATTTTGCTGTAACTTGAACCTTTATATGGCAAATGTCAATTTGTAATTAAGAAAAAGGAAAAAAAAACTGTATTTTTAACTTTGGATGGCAGGTTAATTATTCTATTAAATATTCATAGGAAAATCAACCATAAGGCTTACTGACATTTAAGCAAATACTTGACTCGGAAACACATTTTTTTATCTTGCAATCTTGTTGTATTATAGAATAAAGACCTTGAAAATATTCCAGTAAAAGAAAATTAAGTAGAATCCCACTCTGAAATGTGATATTTGAATTAGTTGGTGTTTCTCCTTTTCCTAATCTAAGATAAAAATATGTATTTCTCTTCTTTGAGATAATGTATAAAGAAATTTGTTTAAAACTGCAGCAGAAGATAATTTCTGATTAAGGTGGTACATAACACAACAGGGAGATAACTCTGTAAAAATCAGCTGAACGTTTTAATCAATTTCTATTGTTAAGGAATTTCAAATATTAAGCTTCTCAATGATCAAAATTAGTGTTTGTCAAACTGCTATATATCCAATGAAATTTTTCCGATAAAGTGTGTGGTTCAATTTTTTTGAAATTTTTATAATTTTGTCAAAGGGTCAAAGTTAATATTTTGTCAAAATTTTATGAAAATTAAACGAGCCAAATTAAATTTAGTCAAGGTGTTGGTATCGCCTTAAATCATGATATGAATTAATTTTAGATTCGAATACACATTTGATTGTATCCGATTTACCTGGCAAGAGAGCCCATGGGATACCACGTTTTAAATTATGATGACCGAATATTTCATTTAGATGTGTATTGGTTAAAAGGACAAACATGATCATTGTATACCACATTATTTCATTTTCGTTTATTTGACATTGTTTATACATTTGGAGTCGTCATTTTGATAAATTTTCTGACAACTTTGTTTATATATTTTTAGTTTAAAATTTTTTATATTAAATAATAAGAAGACTTCATGCTATTTATTTGTTGTAGCAGAGACATATTATATGTTATTCAGGTCTCAGACAGGGTATATAATGTGACATTCCCGGCTTAGCGTTTATATTCCATGAGCCGAAGGTGGTAGTAAATTAATAAAATCAATAAGAAGATGGCTGAAAAATAGGCGGAAGACTCAAAAGTCGACGACAAACTGAAAACGCTATGGCAAAAAAAGAAAAAAACGACCCGCAATTACAACAGCACTAGTATACAATACACAACATAGAAAACTAAAGACTGAGCAACATGGATCCAATCCAAAAACACGGGTGATCTCAGGTGCTCCGAAAGGATAAGCAGACCCTGCACATAAACCACATATGTAACAAGTTTCACACTTACATCTCAGTGGAAGGGTTCTGAATCTGAATATAAACATTTCGTTGTCATTAATGTTTGTGGGATATTTTTAATTCCTTCGCCCAGCTCAATGACTGACCCCGCGAGTTTCGAGTTTCCCTTGTTCTTTTGGAAATCTTACGTTAAAATTATCGTAACTTGATTGATATCAAATTCTAATCGAACACAATAAAAAATTCAGCAAAAAATAGAAATTTTTTAAAGAAAAGATTAAACAGTTAAGCATTACTGACTATGCGGTATGGGTTTTACTCATTGTTGAAGGCCGTACGGCGACCAATAGTTGTTAATTTCTTAGTCATTTGGTCTCTTGTGAAGAGTTGTCTCATTGGCAATCATACCACACCTTATTTTATAGTATTACTATCGTCAGTTCATTACTCACCTCTCCATCAGTAGCCATCAGTACCTTTGGGACCTCTCACCTATAAACAAGGGAATATGTATGTTTTTCCTGAGACCACCCCAGTTTTTGGTGGGGTTCGTGCTACTTAGTCTTTAGTTTTCTATGTTGTGTTTTGTGTACTTGTACTATTGTTTGTCTGTTGGTCTTTTTTCTTTTTTAGTCATGGCTTTGTCAGTTTATTTTCGATTTACGTGTTTGAATAAAATTGAGAATGGAAATGGGGAATGTGTCAAAGAGACAACAACCCGACCACAGAACAGACAACAGCAGAAGGCCACCAACAGGTCTTCAATGCAGCGAGAAATTCCCGCACCCGGGGGCGTCCTTCAGCTGGCCCCTAAACAAATATATATACTAGTTCAGTGATAATGAACGCCATACTAAACTCCAAATTGTACACAAGAAACTAAAATTAAAAATAATACAAGACTAACAAAGGCTAGAGGCTCCTGACTTGGGACAGGCGCAAAAATGCGGCGGGGTTAAACATGTTTATGAGATCTCAACCCTCCCCCTATACCTCTAGCCAATGTAGAAAAGTAAACGCATAACAATACGCACATTAAAATTCAGTTCAAGAGAAGTCCGAGTCTGATGTCAGAAGATGTAACCAAAGAAAATAAACAAAATGACAATAATACATAAATAACAACAGACTACTAGCAGTTAACTGACATGCCAGCTCCAAACTTCAATTAAACTGATTGAAAGATTATGTCTTCATCATATGAATATCAGGCACAATCCTTCCCGTTAGGGGTTTAGTATCATACCATCATAACATATATGAGAAGAACATAACCCGTGTCATGCCAACAACTGGTTTTTAAATAAATGTGTTTAGTGCCGATGCAAAGACCCTATAAGTGAATCAATATTAACGCCAAAATATGCAATCTTTAATGACCTGACAACAGTATCGTAACTATATCCCTTCTTAATAAGTCTATTTAAAGGTTTTGTTAGTTTCAGAGGTGAATACTGACATTTTTGTGCTTTATAAAGAATATTTCCATAAAAAAATGGATGTGAAATACCTGAACGTATAAGAAGTCTGCATGTTGAGCTATATTTACGAATGATGTCCTTATACCGATGATAAAATTTAGTAAATGTTTTGACTAGTTTGTGATATCGAAAACCCTGGTGTAATAATTTTTCAGTAATACATAAATTTCTCTCGTTAAAATCTAAAACATTGTTACATACACGAGCGAATCGTACAAGTTGAGATATATAAACACCGTAAGATGGTGACAAGGGAACGTCACCATCTAAAAATGGATAATTAACGATAGGAAATGAAAAATCATCTCTTTTATCATATATTTTAGTATTAAGCTTTCCGTTAATGATATAGATATCAAGATCGAGGAAAGGGCAGTGGTCATTGTTAGTATTAGCTTTATTTAAAGTAAGTTCAACAGGATAAATTTCTTTAGTATACATACTGAAGTCGTCATTATTGAGAGCCAAAATATCATCCAAATATCTAAAAGTATTATTAAATTTGTGTATCAGATGTTGTTTCGATGGGTCTTTACTGATTTTTGTCATAAATTGTAACTCATAGCAATACAAAAAAAGGTCCGCAATAAGTGGTGCACAGTTAGTCCCCATTGGAATTCCGATAACCTGATAATGTCTCTCTGGTATCTTTCGCCCCTCTTTCATATAAGGGTCTATTTCATTCTGACGCACTTACGTGATTTGCTTATATGGGTTCCTAATGATATGTGTCGAACGTCTTATAAAAAATCACGTGATAAAGGTTCTTCAAGGAACGTGTCTTTGTTGTCCTGATATATGTTTCATAAATGAGGGTCTGGCTTGGGGGTTCTTCATTTCTTTATTCTTTATTCTTTATATTTAAGATAATGTTTTTCTATTCCTAACATTTTTTTGCATTTTAATCGGTACTTTTTGGCTTACTTTTCTCTATTCTTGATATTTAAGCATCCCGGTTTACTCTAATCTTTTTATTAGTGTCTACCTTTTATTCTACACTTGTTGCCCCTTATTCTCTATTCTGTAAACCCCATCAAGACCATCATAAATACATTTTTTTAAAGAAAATAATAATAGCAATAATAATCAGCAATTATCCGATAATACATGCAGACATGCTAATATATTTATTACAACACTACACAAGGAATGCAAGGACATACGGTGCTATGTTAGATTGAACATGGTAGCTTCGTTGAATTATTTTTGGAGAGCAACAGAATGCGGACAACACGAAGAAAAGACGAACTTTACGATTGGAAGAAAACTCAGATAACTCATTATCTTTATTTGCATAAATGTGAATGTCGTTTGTCTGCCTTCCGGTTATATCGGACCTCTGCTACACACCATACGACCTCTTGCACACAAACAACCTGGCTTATCTTTTGGTGATTGCCCAAATGGTATACACTGACCACCAAACGCACAAGCTGTAATTGAAAAAAAAAAATTCTTATGTATACTTAAACTATTATAGATTTATATTTATGCGAGTTCCTTACATCAAAATATTCATTAGGTGGATACCTGATACTATCCACTTCCCTCTCAAACATTAGTAAGGAAACAACTATACTTGTCTCATATATGTGACGATTAATTATTTTTGTATTTGGCACATCTTTAAGGTCGTCCGATCTGTACATATACTAATTGTACTAGTAACCTATTTTCTTTATCACATTATGCCGGAGTTGGGAATGAGAGTACTGTATGCATTACAAGAGACGGTTACATTGTCGACGCACCTGATATCAATCCGTTGGAAGTTCGTGCGGTTTCCGAAGTCTTCTCTGTTTTTCTAAATTTTGAATATTCCTAGCGAATTTACTAGATTTGAACCTTGGATAACTACCTACTGTTGCCTCAAACTTTAACCAATATATCATAATGGTCTTTATATCATAATCGAATGGTTGCTTCACTTTCTACTGACTTGTTGACTGCTGACCTTATCATAAAATTAATCAGTTTCACATCACATCGTAAGTATACCGAATTGTTCATGACTTATGATCAACTTTTGTCGTAAGAATTTTTGTGAAACTGAAAACAGATATTTAATTCTTTCCGATGGGTTCCTTTATATAAACGTTGTCTTCCTATTAATGTTGTTCAAGGAATATGATTTATACTGCATGTGTCGATCGAGTCCGGACCTTAGCGAGGATCGATGTCTAAGAGGCTTTTTTTTAAGTATGACGCTCGGACTATATTATATAATAGACACATCTGAATCTGGATGATTTTGGAAAACAAGCTAGGAAACTCTTTTTTGCCTGCTCAGCGGAGAGCAGCAACAACCGCTTTAAAGTCTTTGGTTTGACCCGGCCGGGGTTCGAACCCATGAAAACATTAGATGAAGATAAAGTAGTATTTATGTATAAAAAAAACGATCAAAGTTGGAACTAACCTTTCATTCTTTTCAATTGTCTTCGCCCACGGACACCACACTTTATTCCGTGACATTTATCTTCCTTGGAATCATATTCGTACCAGTTAGTACCTCGCCGATGGCAAACATCGGCATTCTTTTCTTTGCAATGTTTTGAACCTGTGGAACAAACAAAACACATACCTAACCATTTACTGCGAGACTTATATTTCCAATCAGTTGTGGGTAGAGGAAAATATACGGTTGACATACTTTGGGAGGCCGGCTACGAATGATTCCGACAATAAAGGTAGGCGTGTTATACACTATTGTGTAGATAAATGAATTTATATTTACGACATTACAAGTTTTAGTGGGGTAGACAACCGAGAAATCGAAATATAACTGAAGTTTGCGACCGGATGACATTTTTCAAAAATGCGAGTTAAGTACCTCGATCGTGTTATATTCGAGTGTGGTGTGTTTAAATGAAAACCATTTTTTTTAAGAAATCTCAATCGACAACTGAATGCCTTCTTACACGTTCTTCACACCAACAGTAAATACCTAAAATGCACATATTGTGAAATTAAAAGCGTATTTGATAGCAGGTCTTGATTCTAGACTAAATTGGACCCCTCCCCCCAAAAAAAATATGAATGCGTGACAGAGGTTCATTATTCTAGGATTGACCAGGATTAGACAGGTTCCCTGTCCTTTAACTGTTTGGCTCTGAACGATAACAAAGGTGTCTCAGATACCCGTATGTTGCAAGGGAGAGAACCTAGACCAGGATATTTCCTCTACCTTGTCACTACCATTTGAGGACTGATCGTACACTGAGATACATAAGTAATGCTATATTTGAATCACCTTGGTCTGTTGAGATTTCGATATTTTCTACACAAAATAACCAATGAACCATAAACTTATGATTTGCTTTTTCTTGCCTTAGGGTCTAAAATTCCCCCCCCCCCCCCCCAAAAAAAAAAAAAACCAAGCAATTGTTTTATCACTTTAAATGTACATTAAGAACTAAAAATGTATTCACAAAAATACCGAACTCCAAGGTATATTCAAAAATGGGTGAAGTCCATAAAACCTGACAAAATCAAACGTTAGACTATAACAACCAATGGAACGAATGAATAACAACTGTCATATTCCTGACTTAGAAAAGACATTTTCCGAGGATAATTGTGGGTCAAACCTGGTTTTATAGCTAGATAAACCTCCCACTTGTATGACAGCTGTTTATAGTTTCATTATATTGACAAAATTGAGCCATCAATACAGGTATAATTGGTTAATGTGACAATAATTTTGATCCAGCAGCCAAAACCGTGAAAACAATACAATTGTCAAAGGTACGATCATATTAGCCTTTATCGGTTAACTAATTATAAACATACGAGCTAGTGATTCAACTTTGCTAATGAATCTTTTCCCTCTGACCAACCGAGCTATACATTTCTCAGTGACACAGGATTCGCCGTCAATCTTTCCCCATATTTCTTTATTCTTCTTGCAGCCTTCACTTGTGTCACAACCTATTCACAGATGACAATGTGTTGTAATACAAAGAATAACGCGATATTATATGATAACAGAAAAAATATAAAGATCGCCTGCAAGATTGAAGTAAGAACGACTAGCCTTAAGTCTAGTTCAGCTTATTCAGATAAGGAATTTAATATTTGTAGTCTTATACCTTCTGAGAATACCCAAACAAACAAAAAACTTCGATTTTAGAATGCCAATGAAAAGATTAAATTCGATTGAAGTATATTCGCGGCACATAGTAAAACGGGAAAGTATTGTCTCTTCGGTAAAATTTTTCTGAGGGGTTTGAACTTTGCCGCCAAACAATAATGATAAAAAGGCAATTGAATGCATGATCACTTCTAGTGTGTCCATTCATTTTTTCCTAGAAATCGTCATACAGAATGTCCAATTACGTTAAATTTAGTAATTATCCGTAATTGGATTTGGATTACATAATTTAATTTTACTAATTTGTTTAGTAGTCGTAGTCTTAGGACTAAACTGTGTACATTCAAATTGTAAGCAAGATTTAGCATTACTTCTATATGTATATAATTTTTAAGTAAGGTCCTACACTTATGTTCACTTGGCATTGACAACAGGACGCAGGTTTCTAAATCATTGTTTTCCTGATCGACCACGATGTTTGTGATTTGGATTTAGATGTTTTTAGATATGATAGAATCTAGAATGTTGTATATCTGTTAGGGCGTTATTTCTGTACTAGTATATTTATAACAAAAGCGACACTGGCTCAGAAAGATATACAATCTGCAAGCTAGTCAGTACTTACTTTTGGGTTCGGATTATTTTTCTATATATTAAAACTATAGTATATACTAAGATGTAAAAGTACACTAGTGCAGAGAAGACATTTATTTACAAGAGTCATCATTAAACACTGCCTATTACCAATTTTAATATCTCCAAGAATGCCATTTAACCCGCATTTTAGTGCTGAACAGGCGTTAGGCTTTACCAAATCGTCCGGTTCATAACATGTACCATCCACTTTACATCCTGCAAAGAAATAGATTCTAATGTATACAGCGTGTGCTATTTCTAACAGAGTAGGACAGTGTGTGCTTTCTTTAACAGAATAGGACAGTGTGCTATTTCTGACAGAGTAGGACAGTGTGTGCTTTCTTTAACAGGGTAGGACAGTGTGTGCTTTCTTTAACAGCGTAGGACAGTGTGTGCTATTTCTAACAGAGTAGGACAGTGTGTGCTTTTTTAACAGCGTAGGACAGTGTGTACTATTTCTGACAGAGTAGGACAGTGTGTACTATTTCTGACAGAGTAGGACAGTGTGTACTATTTCTGACAGAGTAGGACAGTGTGTTCTGTTTCTAACAGAGTAGGACAGTGTGTGCTTTTTTAACAGCGTAGGACAATGTGTGTACTATTTCTGACAGAGTAGGACAGTGTGTACTATTTCTGACAGAGTAGGACAGTGTGTTCTGTTTCTAACAGAGTAGGACAGTGTGTGCTTTTTTAACAGCGTAGGACAGTGTGTACTTTTTCTGACAGAGTAGGACAGTGTGTACTATTTCTGACAGAGTAGGACAGTGTGTACTATTTCTAACAGAGTAGGACAGTGTGTACTTTTTTAACAGAGTAGGACAGTGTGTGCTATTTCTAACAGAGTAGGACAGTGTGCTATTTCTAATAGATGAGGGCAGTGTGCTATTTCTAATAGATTAGGACAGTGTCCTATTTCTAATAGATTAGGACAGTGTGTGCTATTTATAATAAATTAGGACAGTGCTCTATTTCTAACAGATTAGGACAGCGTGTTCTCTTTCTAACAGAGTTTCTAACAGAGTAGGACAGTGTGTGCTTTTTTTAACAGAGTAGTACAGAGTGTGCAATTTCTAATAGATAGGACAGTGTGTGCTATTTCTAACAGAGTAGGACAGTGTGTACTATTTCTAACAGAGTAGGACAGTGTGTACTATTTCTAACAGAGCAGGAGAGTGTGTGCTATTTCTAACAGAGTAGGACAGTGTGTGCTATTTCTAACAGAGTACGACAGTGTGTGCTATTTCTAACAGAGTAGGACAGTGTGTACTATTTCTAACAGAGTAGGACAGTGTGTGCTATTTCTAACAGAGTACGACAGTGTGTGCTATTTCGAACAGAGTAGGACAGTGTGTGCTATTTCTAACAGAGTAGGACAGTGTGTGCTATTTCTAACAGAGTAGGACAGTGTGTGCTATTTCTAATAGATAAGAACAGTGTGTGCTATTTCTAATAAATTAGGACAGTGTGTGCTATTTCTAATAGATTAGGACAGTGTGTGCTATTTCTAACAGATTAGGACAGTGTCTGCTATTTCTAATAGATGAGAACAGTGTGTGTTGTTTCAAATCGGGTAGAACAGTGTGTGCTATTTCTAATAGATTAGGACAATGTGCTATTTCTAACAGATTAGGACAGTGTGTGCTATTTCTAATAGATTAGGACAGTGTGTGATATTTCTATCAGATTAGGACAATGTGCGTTATTTCTAATAGATTAGGATAGTAATTATTGTTTCAAACCGGGTAGAACAGTGTGTGCTATTTCAAACAGAGTAGGACAGTGTGTGCTATTTCTAATAGATAAGGACAGTGTGCTATTTCTAACAGATTAGGACAGTGTGCTATTTCTAATAGTTAAGGACAGTGTGCTTTTTCTAACAGATTAGGATAATGTGTGCTTTTTCTAACAGATTAGGATAATGTGTGCTTTTTCTAACAGATTAGGACAGTGTGTACTGTTTCTTACAGATTAGGACAGTGTGTGCAATTTCTATTCGGGTAGGACATTGTGTTCTATTTCTAACAGATTAGGACAGTCTGTTCTATTTCTAATAGATTAGGACAGTGTGTTCTATTTATAACCGGGTTGGACAGTGTGTTCTATATCTAACATATCAGGACAGCGTGTGTTGTTTCAATCCGGGTAGAACAGCGTGTGCTATTTCTGCCACAGTTGGACAAAGAATAATGTAGATTAAGACATATCCGTCCACCCTGCTGTAACGTATAATTTTGATAATTCTAATCTTTGTTTGATGGAAGGGGTACACCTAAATAAAACAGTGACCAACAGGTCAACATTTGATATTTAGCAATACATATAATTGATTCTTTAAAGTCATATGAAACTTCAAATTTAAAAAAAAAAGAGTATGTTTAATATACTTGAATTGGTAAGTTTAACTATAAAACAAGTGTACATGGACTTTCTTGTAAAACAAAATCCTTTCTCGATAGAACTTCGGCAACCGGACAGCACAAGTGCGATCGAGGGAAGCATAGTGATTAAAAGAATACTGTAAACCAAATTATTTTCGAGAGCGATTTATTTTCGCGACTTTCGCCAGTAGAAAAATAACGCAAATATAAATCGTCGCGAATACATAAAACTTAGATCGTTCCTTATTCAACTACTTCAGTGAAAATCGCGAAATTAAATCGCTGCGAAAAAGGATAGAACGGGCTTTTTTTGTTATTTAATGTTATTCAGGGTTATATCTGGTCTATATACCAGCTTTGATAAGTGTTTGGTATTACTATAAATTTTCACTTCTTACTATGAACATCAAAATTATTTATTTTGTAAACATATTTCCTTTCTCTATTGAAACTGTACACGTATACCTAACAACAAAATTATTTTCATTTACCTGTGTTTAAAGTTATTGCAAATGGCTGATATTTTTGTTCGAGCATATTGTTTTTCTTAAATTGTTTAACATTTCATACCGATATAACATGTAACTTTTATTATTCTTCCCTTAGTTTATTTATTTTGTATTTACATTGTATCATAGGTCAAATTTATTTGTTCAATGTATGTTCACTGGTGTTAATATGTCCTTTGATTGAGTTGAGCTATTTCAGTTGGTATTTTATAGTGTGTCTTTCTATGTTGTGATGTTACATTATTGTTTTAGAAAAAGGGTGAAGGTTTGGTACCATCAAAACGTTTAAACCCGCTGCATTTGTTTACACCTGTCCTAAGTCTGGAATCTGATGTTCAGTAGTTGTCGTTTGTTGATGTGGTTCATAAGTGTTTCTCGTTTTTTTATATAGATTAGACCGTTGGTTATCCCGTTTGAATGGTTTTACACAAGTAATTTTTGGGGCCCTTTATAGCTTACTGTTCGGTGTAAGGCAATGCTCCGTGTTGAAGACCGTACTTTGACCTATAATGGTTTACTTTTATAAATTTTGACTTGGATGGAGAGTTGTCTCATTGGCACTCATACCACATCTTCTTATATCTATTAACGCAAAATAAAGTATCCGCGAAATAAGTTGGTTTACAGTAATCAAACGTGCACTGGAATGTAAATAGTGTTAATTGAATCTGAAATAACTAGTTAATAGTGGTACATCAAATCATTTAACAACTGTTATGGCACAGTTTAATTAACATATGACAACACATGAACAATATAAAGAAAAAAATTACATCGCTTTGTCAACTCACTTTTTTTACGTGCTCCATGATTCTGTGTTGATATTTTATCAATGTCACGATCTGGTAAACTTCGGCAATAACCCCGAAAACTACTTAGTTTGCGATCAACAATCACTAACTTAAATATATTTTTGTCGATTATACGTCATGATTCGTTATAAATGTAAAATTAAAAAAAACGTACACAGAGAACACAGTTAAGTATATATCTATCCATTGGTTCAATAATTTCCTTAACATTATAATTACAAGAAAATCGTTTCATATGACTTTAAACAAAATGAAGAAAAAAAAGGTTTGAGAACAAATTTAACTGATACTGGCATAAACTTTCAACTATGATGACGATTGAAATTAGCACTCAAAAGTGCTAAAAGATAGCAGGGTACACCTTTGTTTTTTGTCATCACTTTTGATAGAGAAGCATAAGTAGAAGGAATAATCTAGAAACGTAATTGTTCAGCCATCTTTAATATTCCAAATCTGAAAATCCGAATTCATGTATTTGAATTTATAATAGGGTCGGTCCAT